GGGTCAACACCCCTCCACCACCTCACTGGGGGTACCTGTGTATCCCGGTGGGGCTGAACTGGCTGGTCAGAAAGTTGGTAACCTCCCGCCCAGGTGACAGTAAGAGGGTCAGAGGGACCAGCATGGAAGGGGTTAACCTCTATCCCCAGTTGAGGTGACAGTGTCTCCTGGGAGGGCTGACCAGGAGGAAAGGGTTAACCCGCTTTCCTCTTGAGGCAGACAGTGGATCCCAGTGGGCCTTGATCGTGACAAGGGGTCACCCCGCACCCCTGTGGGTCTGTGCACTGAGGCACAATGCACGAGTGAACCCCCAGGTGTGTTACAGCCCCTAAAAAGTATAGTGCTTCTGGGCTTGGGAAGGGAATAAACCCCACCTCTGTGAAGTTCTTAGCCCCACAGTGGGACTGGGCAGGGGGCATGGGGTGGCGATCTGTGCAGTGAGAGGGTTTAACCCCATCCCCATGCCATTGTGAGTATCCTGGTGAGTCTGGAAATGGGGTACCCTACACAGGGAGGTAGCATGGGGGGTCTGACCCTATCTCCACACAACTGTGAGCAGCTGAGTTCGGCTGGAAAGAGAGGAGACTTCTTGGGGAGACGCTGTGTGGGGCTTGACCCCATCTTCACCCGAGAGCCAGCACCAGATAGGTCTGGAAAATAGGGGACCCTTTCGGGGGTGATGGCAAGTGCTACTCGACACCATCCCCACGCAGGAGGCAGCACTTAGTGGCTGTGGAGATACGGGACCCTCTCTGGGGAAATTCTGAGCGGGGGTCCTGCTCCGTGCCCACGCAGGAGGCGGCCGCCGGCGGGGCTGGCAGCGGGGGCTGTGCTGGCAGAGGCAGCGAGGGGAGGGTTAACCCCGTCCCCACGCAGGTGCCGGCACCCCAGTGGGGCTGTCGGTGGGGAGGGGGAGGCGGGCGGTGCGTGTGGGGGCTCGGGGAGGGGATGATTCATTGCGGGTAGTCATGACATTGCTGCCTGGTTGCCTGCGGCTGCCATCCAGCACGGGCACGGGTGGCTCTGCCTGCCCCGGCGCGACAAGATCCTCAGCAGCTCCCTGACTGAACCCGGGATACGCTACCATGCCGGCCATCCTGCTCTTCTGGAGCCGCGCCGAGAGGTATGCGCTGCCTCGGCACCCGCGCCTCGCCGAACCCGCCCGGCTCGGAGCCCGGCGGGACTCCAGCCCCTGGGGACACAGAGGGATGGGGGCTGTCGCTCGCCCGGCTCTTTTCGCTTTCCGCGGGTGGGATGCAGGAGCTACCTGGTGATATCCCCGGTACGGCTGCCTAGTTTCGGTGTAGAGCTTCTGGAGAGGATGCTCTCCGTGGCCTGCAAGTGACGGTGACAGACAGAGGGGACGCGGTGGCATTAGTTTTCCTTGGCGTGCCTGAAGGTGACTTCTCAGAAGTAGGTTTTGCGCCGTGGGCTCGGGGGACGCACCGTCCCCGTCCCGCTACCCTGCCACCACGGGGAGCCCCGGACGCCGGGCGGGAGTGCGGCACCCAGATCCCTTCTGCCGGGCGACCGGTGCCGGAGGACCGGTGAGGGGGACACAGGGACCCCCTTGCATCCGAACGGGAAAAGCTGGGGAGGTGCACATTGGTTAACGTGACTTTTTTCCATATCAACGCCGCCCTACTTTTCTCCCTACCCGATTCGCCTGGCGGGTGCTCAGCCCTGGGCGTCAGCAGAGTCGTTTCTGGGGACACCGAGGGGCTCCTGGCTGCGCTCCCTGCGCTCCTTGGAGGGGGCTGCGTGGGGGACGTGACGGTGCCAGGCGGCTGGGTGCCTTGCGGAAGCGGAGAAGAGGAGTGCTGACGGATTAAGCAGCAGTGTCTTAATCTGTCGGTTTAACAAGAAAGCGTCAAGAAACCAATTAAAAGGAAAATTACGGCACGGCGAGTGACTCCATTGAAGGGTCTCTCCGTGCGCCGCTGGGAAGCACACAAAGGACGGCAGCTCCCCGGCGGCACCGCGTCGACCGGAGGAGCCCTTTCGGAGCCATCCTGGGAGCGAGGTCAGAGCCAACCACGGCTGCCGGGCTGGCGAAGAGCTGCCCTTTGGGTGTGCCGGAGGAGGTGGAGGGGGGGACTCGCCAGCAGAGCATCCCTTGGCGGCGGCGGCATCCCCGGCACGAGCCAGCACCTTTCGCCCCGCCACCCTCCTCCCGCCCTCCAGTGCCTCCCGGCCGGGCACACAACACCTGCCGCCGCCTGCGGACAGCCGCGATGTTTAAAATAAAACTAGAGCCTTTAAAAATGACAGCTTGGACTATGAATGTGTTCGTAAAGTTTCGGTAAGTGGGTTTCCGCCTCTCGACCTTGTGTCCTCGTTAAACCATCAGCGCCTGTCCCTGGCATCCCGCGGTGACCTTGCACCCCGAGATGGAACAAAAAAAGCCTTGTGCCGTTGCCAGGGTGGGTTTGTTCCCTTAGATGACTGCCGAGCGGAGGGATTATGTCAAACGATCGCTATTCAGCTGGCGCGCTCGCCCAGCGGTTGCTCGGGCTGATGTCATGTGCGGGGCCGGAACAAAGATTTATTCTTTATTTAATTATTTTTTTTCTCTTTTGGTGTGGTTGCAAGAGGAGGATGGAGGCTGGGCTGGCTCGGCAGGGCAGGGGAATGCCTGTGGTTTTCACCAAGGCAGGGTGGCCGTGACACTCTGGGGGCATCCGATTTGCAAGGGCGATACAGGAATGCCTTCGCCTGCTTGAAACCCCCCACTGCTCCCGAGGGGGTTAAATGGGAAGTCAGGAGAGGATGACTGAGCAGAAGGGGGAGAGGATCAGTGGCAAGGCGCAGCTGATCCCAGAGAGGTGGGAGGGAAGGAGGGAGGCTCTGCGGGGACAGAGTCGTGTTTTACCACCATTGTGCATGTGAGCTGAGCCTTGAGAGCGTGCCTTAACCCACCGGGTCACTCGCCAGCACCTGGTCCTCTCTGGCACGGTAAACCGCGGCACCGGCATGCATTTCGGTACAGAAATTCCCTTCCCCATGCCCAGCCAGAGGAAGGGGTCCTCGGTCAGGTCAGAGGTCCTTATCAGGCATCCCCACCCTGGCCAAAGACTTCTCAAGCGGGCAAGTCCAGAGGTCCTGCGGGTGGTGACAGCATTTTGCCAGGACGGGATGTATTTTCATGGGAAGCACTGTGGGGTTTTGGCCAGGTGAGGGTGTCCCAGTGGTGCTGTCAGGTTGGGCTGTGTGGGGTCAGAGCCAGACACTGTGGTCCCTGGGCAGCGACAGTTGAAGGTTTGTCAGCTCTGTGTTGCTGGAGCTAGGGTGTGATGGGATTGTCTTTAGCACTGCTTGGTTTGCTTTCGCCGTGGGAGGGCGAAATTGTCATCCCAGTATTGGTCTCAGGGAGCCCCTGGCCCCCACTGGAGGCTGCTGTGGAGAAGCAGGGTGTTGGAGTGACCTTGGGTGAGGAGAATGGACGGGATAGTCTTGGTTCTCCTGCCTGTTGCTCACCCCAGGGTTTTCTGCATCCTCCCTGACACTTAGGGAGGGTAAATGGGGAGATGGATGTGGGCTGGGGGCAAAGCATCCCCCAGCACCTGCGTGGGCTGGGTGCTGCTGGCATCTCTGCACGCAGGAGCTGGTATAGAAATGTGCTGGCATCAGGGAGGTGCCACAGGAGACGCTGTCAGATGCTCTTTATGCCCCCAGGGACCTCCTCCCACCTCTTCTGTGCTACCTAGGCTGCTGTAGTGTTTGCAGACGTCCCCATCTCCCCTGTGTCCTTCAGGAGTGCCTTAACCCCCTTCCCCATCTACAGCAAAGCTTCTCCTCCATGGCTGGAGCAAAAAAGAGCAGAAGTTGGTGGCTTGGATGGAGGTGGCAAATACGGGGCCAATTTCCAAGGTCTTGTAGGTGGTCATTGCCCAAGGCAATGGATGCTTGGTGTGTTGGATGCCAGATGCTTGCAGGAGCACCCAGCCATGGATCCTGGGGGAGCACAGCCACCCTTGATTGAGCTGTGGTGGTTGGGGGGGTCCCTCTGTGACCTCCAATGTGAGCTCATGGATAGAGTAAAGATGGGGAGAACATCTGTGAGCTTGTATGATGGTGAAGAAAAGGGTCAAGGCTAACACCCCATGCCAAAATCTGTCTGCTGGAGGGGCACGGAGGGTTGAGATGGCTCAGGGGTGTTTAGAGCAAGGTTAGGGTGAAACCTGGACTGTAGGAGGGAGCAGGATGTGAGAAGTGGGGGTACAGGGCTGCTAGGGCAGCATCTGGAAGAAGCAGGGTCAGCCCTGAGTATGAGAGGGGCCAGGACAGACCCTGAAGCGCAGGGTGTCATGTGTTTGCTGTCAGATAACCAAATGTCGAGGAGTAGTGGGAAACATCTGTGGGGAGGCATGGAGAGGAGAGGACTTGTTAGCTTTTGCCTGGGGGAGCAGCCTTGCCATCTGCCCTGGCTGCTCCCTGGGTGGCTGTGACTCCAGCGGTGACTGGGGGATGAATTATGGCCAGCGGGTTTTCCATGCCTTAGTATAGGCATGGGCATGGCCTCAGCCCCCGCGCGATGGAGCGAGTGAGCCCTGAGTTCCTGGCTCACTGCAAGATCCAGTTGGAGGCTCTCCGGGAGTGCAAGTCAGGCTAGAAAGTGTTGGGGTTTTTTTTAAAAACAAAAAAAAGAAAAAAGCCCTCCCACCATCACAAGATGTTTCTGTCTAACGGCTCCGTTCTCTCTCCGCTAAATACAAATTATGGCTCTGACAGCCGGAGGCGCTTATCTCCAGCTGAATGCCAATTGCTTTCAGGAACAAAATGTTTGAAGTTCCTTTAAGGTGAAGGCACAGTGTGGTCCCTGCCACTGCCTTCAGCCTCCAAAACCGGCTGTCATCACCCCGACTTGGGTCTCAGGTCCTCAGCTGGGAGAGAACCAGGCAAGGGGGTGGACACAGGCCGGCAGCTACATTTGGACATAGCTCAGCCCTCCTGACTCAGCCGGGGGGGACGGACAGGGACGTGGTCCTGGCCTGACGTGAGCAGTGGCGTGGCCCCTATAATAGTGCTGTGCCCCGACTTGAGCTCTCTCTCCCTGTCAGCCTCAGAGATGAGTCTGTCCATCCCAGCCTTAGGGCTCAGCGGGATAAAACCAGAGCTGGGATACATTCTGGCACCGGGGCTCTGACCTCTGCTGGGAAGCGTGGACTTGAGCTGGCTCTGGTGCTGCTGGCCCGTGGGACGCAGGGAGCATCGGCTCCGTGATAAGTGTGTGCCAGTCCCATCCCCGGCTGCCCCTATGTGATATTCACCTTACGAAGAGCTGTCTTTCTCCTTTCAGGAATAAGTACTCAGCTCCCGGCAGCGTCGCCGTCATGGGGAAGGATTATTACAAGATTTTGGGCATCCAGAGTGGCGCCAATGAAGATGAAATCAAGAAAGCCTATCGGAAAATGGCCCTGAAATATCACCCCGACAAAAATAAAGACCCCAATGCTGAGGAGAAGTTCAAGGAGATTGCGGAGGCTTATGATGTCCTGAGTGACCCCAAGAAACGAGCCGTGTATGACCAGTATGGGGAGGAAGGTAAGGGGATAAGCATTGCCCACTGGGAGGCAGGGATGTGGGGTCCAAATCAGTTTTAGAGGTGGGGGAGGGTTTTCACAGAGAGATGTTTCAGTGCTTCATGCCTACTCCTGAAATGGGACTGGTTTCCAAAGAATCAGAGAGAGTGAAGGCTCTACAGGTGTCAGAAATTACCTCTCATCCCACTCCTCCCCAGGCTGCTTAACTTTTCCAGCAGTTTGTCACCTTGCTTCCTGGGGTGGCTGGGCTCCCCCTGCCCTCTGCCCAATAACCGTGGGTGCCAGCTGAGAAACAGAAGGAGCTCACCTCCTGGGTCATACCTGGGGTAATTCGTTAGCAGCTCTTTAAATGACCTAAATAACACAGCAGAGACATACTGCTCCTGCCCACATTCCCCCTGCGCTTGGGCACTGGTCCCACTGTCCTCCCTGGTACAGGCTGACCTACAGGATTCAAAGCTTTTCCCAATTTAAGTAATAGGCCCTTGTTTTGAAACCAAGCGGCTGCTGTTGTCTGGTGGTTGGCATGGAGGAGGAGGAGGAGGAGGAGAGCCGCTCCAACGCAGGCGGCCTTATTAGTCAATGATGGAAGAGTGCAACCCCATTCGAGGAGAGTGCTGAATAGCATCTGCATTAATCAGCCCAGGACTTGGGTGCTTAAAAGAGCAGAAGGTCTGGCAGGAGCAGGCTGCTGGGTGGAAGAGGCAGCTCCTCTCTCGGGCAGGTGCATCCCCTCACAAGCCACCGGCAGGATTAAGCAGCAGTGGGTTAATTGTTGACCTGCTAGTTATGTCAGGGCTGTGATGGATGCACTGGGCACAGTGATTTGCTGCCCTGTAAAATGAGAAGAGACTCTCTCAAGTGGGAAACCAGCTTTTCCCGGGAGGCCTCAATGAAATCGGACGCTGCTCAGGCTGGCGTCATGGGATTAAAGGTGAAACCTCCTGGCTGTACAGTCTATTAGGAGTGCAGCTCACTGGAGATTTGGCAAAATCCCCATCGCCTGCAGGCATCTAAAATAAGAGTGAATTAAGGAAGAGGGTAAGAGGTCCCTCACTGCCCTATCAAGTTAAAGACCATCTTCCCCCATGTTCCATCAGTGTTGAACCTCTCGTGTTCCATGACCTTCCCCACACCTTTTGTTTCCCATTCTTTTGGGCAATGAAGATCAGCATTTTGAGGAGTTTCAGGGTTCCACATGTTGTGTTGGCAAGGTGAAGAGGGAAACCCGCGCAAAATACTGACTTCAGCACTCAGAAGAGACCCCCCAAACTTGTCCTGCTGTGGAAGGGGCGTGGGGGGTTGGGGCAAAGGACAGCCTGTCAGAAATAGTCCTTCACTGTCACTGGTGTGCCCTGAAAATAGTCCCTGAGCTAGGCTTGGCTTAACCCTTCCCAACCCTCCTGGTCAAAAATAGCCTTGCAGAGCATGTGTGACCTCTTTGGGGGGCACTTGTCATGTGCCTTGACTCTTTGGGACTTGCGATGAGTTGCAGTGACATCAGGCTCAGCCTGGGACCTGGCAGGGGAGTTTCCCATGGAATAGGTTGCCAAATGATCCAGACCTGGAGCTTACCTGGCATTTTATACAGCCAATGTGCAGGGAGCTGCATGCCGACCTGGAGGTCTGCTCGCCTCCACCTGCCTGCAGAATCACTGAGGGTGGAGAAGATCTCTAAGATAATTTAATGAAGCACTGCCATGTTCACCACTGACCCATGTCCCTAAGTGCCACATCCACACACCTTTTTAGCACTTCCAAGAATGTTGACTCCATCACTTCCCTGGGTAGCCTGTTCCAATGCCTGACCAACTCTTCTGTGAAGAAATTTTTCCTAATGTCCAGTCTCAGAGACAAGGCTATTGCAGCAGGAAGGAGCCTGCTCATGGGGAAAAATGGAGATGGGCTGATCAGGGTATGTTTTAAATTAAAATTAGGTTAATTGGGTGGAGAGAATCAAAGAGGTCCTTCAGTAGGGGTAAAGGGAACAATACCTGAATGGATTCTGAGCTTGCAGGATGTAGAGGTAGGACTGTATGTCATGAGTGGAGATGGTGCCTTCACGGTGGTTGTGCTGGAGGGGTGATCTGCACACTCAGAAGAGGGTGGAAGAACTCCCTGGAAGTGGCAGAGGCCATTCTCCCACCGGGCAGTGCAGTCCTTGCAGAGCATTCCCCCACGGGGAGCATTCATATCTCCTCTTCCCCCTTCTCTTCCAGGTCTCAAAACTGGAGGTGGCTCTTCAGGTGGCTCAGGGAACACCTTCCACTACACCTTCCACGGAGATCCTCATGCCACCTTTGCATCCTTCTTTGGAGGCTCCAATCCTTTCGACATCTTCTTTGCCAGCAGCCGCTCCCGGATGTTCAATGGCTTTGACCAGGAAGACATGGATATGGATGATGACGACGACCCTTTCAGTGCCTTCGGCCGCTTTGGCTTCAACGGCATCAATGGGGTTCACCGGCGGCACCAGGAGTCCCTGCACACACGGAGGAAGGTCCAGGACCCACCTGTCATCCATGAGCTCAAGGTGTCCCTGGAAGAGATCTACCATGGATCCACCAAGAGGATGAAGATCACTCGCAGAAGGCTTAACGCTGATGGCCGGACCATGCGGACTGAGGACAAGATCCTAAACATTGTCATCAAACGGGGCTGGAAGGAGGGAACCAAAATCACATTCCCCAAAGAAGGGGATGCCACTCCAGACAACATCCCTGCAGACATCGTCTTCATCCTCAAGGACAAGCCTCACTCGCACTTCAAGAGGGACGGGACGAACGTGATCTACACAGCGAACATCAGTCTTAAAGAGGTGGGTACGGGTGGTAAATCCCATGGGATGTGAGGTGGCAATCGTTCATGGCATTTGGGCCCAAGATGGGATTTAGTCCTTCTTCTGCTTAGGATAGGAAAGAGCAGGTAGGTCACAAGAAAGGAGCTGCAGAGGCAAACTTGGTCTGCTTTGGAGGTTCTTGACTTCCATGCCAGGCGTGGGACACTGATGCTGCAGTCCCTGCTGAGCACACTTCACTTCTTGAGCCAATTCAGATAGTATTTATCCATTTTGTCCCTTCTCCGTATGTCTTGATTTTCTATTTTAACATAGGGTATTTGCATGTGGAACGAAGGCCACATCTTCTGTAAGGAAGACCTCGGTTAGGTGGCATCAGCCTGATTCCTGCTTTTCTTGTAGCTGAGCCCACTGTGGCTTAGTTACTGCCTAGGGTTGCACCAGCTGCCTCTTCCATGGCAGAGAGCAGGATCACATGGAGGAAAGTGATCCCTTGCCCTCCCTGAGCAGTGCTTTAGCTGTATTTTGATTCTGGCTTTCCTAGATAAGCAACCAAACAAATTAAATACTCAGGCAATAAGTAAAATTCAATACTTCCAGCTGCCAATCCTAGAGGTCACAGCAGGGCTGCATGGATGCATCAGATCATCCAGCAATCTGCAAGAAGGTGGGAGAGGAAAGATTACCTCAGTACAAGATGTGCTGTTCGCCACTGCTGCTGTAAAACTACCTTTTAATAAATCCCAGCTGGCAGCTGCATTTAACGTTGACATTTTTGGCAGCTGCCATTTGCTGTTCCTTTCAGACGGTAGACACTGTCTGTCTTCTTAATGAGCTGATTTTTTTTTCCTTCCCGAAGGCAGATTTATGTTCTCAAATGTGTTTAATAGAAATAAGCTCAATGGGCCAGACCTGAGGCAGGAAAACGTGATCTTGTGAAGTGTGCCAGGAAGTCAGGAGAGCTCTGCCATGGCTCTGCATCCCAGCTTGGGCTGTGGGCGGGTGTACTGGGGGCAAAAAGCATGCAGGCGAGGCAGAGCTGGGCACTCCCGGAGCAAACTTAACTCCATTTAACTTGCAGACTCAGGAGCGGAGTTTCCCTCACAGTGCAAAGTACAGAGGTTAATTCCCGCAGTAGCTCGTTCTCCTGGCCGATCCAGAAGTACTTGGAAGAGACTACCTTATTTATGGAGCTGTGCATTCCATATCTCAAATGTTTCCTTCTGTTCATTCCTCTTATCTGTAAAGTTAACCCTGACCTGGCTGTGCTGATGCCCAGACCATGTTAGCCCAAGTTTGTGCACTGGTCAGGCTGGAAGGACTTTTTCCTGGAGTTAACTTTTAAGCAGCAACTGGAGAAATGGGCTCCAGCTCCATGTACTGTTGCACTAAAAGTGTTGGATACCTGTGAGCTCTATGGGCAAGGCCTTCATGCTGGCAGTGGGTTTGCACAATGCAGACACAGCAGAAAATTGATGGTCCAGGCAAATTCCTCATCTCTTCAGCTGGAATTTCTGGTCTCTGAGCTCCCCCAGCACAAGCCCAACATGCTGGGCATCCTCATGGAGCTGCTGGTCTGGCTGTCATCCCCAGCCTGCTGCTTGCCAGGGCAGTGTGAAACTCTGCTGCGTTTGTCTTCCAGGAAAAGAAGTTCCTTAAGTGCTCTGGAGCAGGAGCAGATGCTGGGAGCTCTCCAGTTCTGTATGCTACCACCTCAGTATGTGACAGAGCACAATTTCTCCATCTCCTCAGCCTCTGGCTGTAGCCTTAGGTCTCTCCTTGCACTTTCTGCCTTTCAAGGCTGCCTTTTCTAGCCCAAGTTTTAGTCTCTGCCACTGCCGTGAGAGAACTTAGTGCCATCAGGAAAGCTGGCAGGTGATGGGTGCTGGAGGACCCTCCCGGCCCTCAAATCCCAGCCCTGCTGGGTGCTTGGCCAGGGCAGTGCAGGCTTTTTGCCACCTGTCTGCTGCAGAACCACAGATGTAGGAGTGCTTTTCCGGGAATTCGTTGTCTTCTCTCCTAAAATCTGAGGCTCGTGCCAGAACGAGGAGCTGCGGGGGGGAGGAGACACAGAGCTCCACCAGCAGCTGCCTCTGCCGTGAGGCAGCGCTGCCGGCAGGGCGTCGTGCCCTCCTGGCTGCTGCCTGATGCCTGCCCTCGGCACCGTCCCGCTTTGCATCCTTTACCTGGCGTCACCTTCCTCGAAGCATCCGGCTCATCCCGGCTGGGACGCGGCCGATGGCGACGCCCGCCCCGGCGGCTCCGCTGCGAGCGGAGGAGGACCCAGCGGTGACCTAGATAAAGCTCTGCTCGCACAGCACAGCGCTCAAACCCAGGGTGATTTCATCCCCAGGGATAAACCAAGCCTCTTTCTAGGATGCGGGGTAGCTCCCGTGGTTACTGGTGTTACTTCAGCAACCGCTTTCCCAAATGCCAGCAAAGTTGAGCAAGAAGAATGAAAAACAGGGACATACGGTGGAGGAGCGATCGCCTCGGATTCTTGCGTCTTGGCTCCGGGAAGGAAACATGAAGATCCTGTCTGCCTTCGCTGTTACCGCCCGCTTCTGCTCACATCTCTGCCTGCTTTCCCCATCCACGTGTTAGCACAGAGAGTTCTTGTTCTCCTTTCTGTTTTGTGGCTGGAGGTGTCCTTTCTTGTCACACTGCACTGGGCACCAGTGAGCAGGAGGACTTTGGCACCCTTGCCTGAATGCACACCACAAACTCATTGATGTGGGGAGATTGTCCTTTGTTTTCCCCCAACCTGCTGGAGATCAGCCAAGCACCTGCTGCTGATGGCATCCTCCTGCAGGCTGAAGACTTAATCCCTGGAGGAACCCCTAGCCAGGAGGAGGCCTGTGCAGATGAGCCACGCAAAGGAGACAGGACCTTCTTCCCTGTTCTCCACTCAATAGAGACCCCGAAGCAGTTCTGGCACACATCCCACTGCAAACCCTCTGGTTGAAAGCCTTGGTTCAGCTGCAGAAGCCCCATCCATCATCTCAGAAACAGCAGCCAGCATGAGATGTTTCTCCTGGTGCCTGTTGCTGCTTTCCCTTTGGAGGCTTTTCCTGGGGAGGGGAATGCAGAACATTCCCCCACCTATCCCAGAAACAGCAATTGCATCTTTCTCCGCTCCCCTTGCAGGGTGTTTTGGAAGGGCTGGGACCCACAGGACCCAGTGCAGAGGGACAAACCTGTGCCAGCCCCCACATGGGAGCTCAGGGCTATAGCTCAGCAACCCCCCAGCCCCCACCCCCTTCCAGAAGCATCGTTCTGCAGTCCTCTCACTCAGCCCTTGCCGAAAGCCTGGAGACGATCCTGCCCACATGTACGACAGAGCTGTCTGAGTTATTTAAGGACACAAGGATTTTCTTGCTGCATTCCCGCATCACGTGGCTCGCCAATGCAGGCCGGTGTGCGGCTGCTGCTGGGGGCTGGGGTACAGCGGGGTGGCACCCCCACACTGGCTCCTGGCTGTGCAATGGGGTAGGAGATGGGAACCAGCCCCCCCAGCTCCTAGGGAAGCTTAATGCCACAGCCACACCATTGTCCCATCCTGGCATAGCCTTGTGGGGGCTGTCGGTGACAGAGATGGGACATGGGACATGGGCTGTGCTATAGATAACCCCAGCACGGGGCAGAGCTGCCGTGCTCTGGAGGGTGACAGCTGATGGGCTGTGGCAGCATCCCATGATCTCAGCTGGATTTTCGGCTGCCCGAGGCTGGGCGACGAGGCTGGAAAGGGGCTAAATTTAGCCTGTGCTGTTGCTGTGGGTGGCTGGGTGCTTGCTGGTGGTGCCTTCTGGGCAGCCCAGGGGGTGGGGAGGGGAGTCCTTTTCCTTGTGAGAGCTGGGGTACCCCTCTCCTGGGGCACCCCTCTCCTGCACGGCTGCTGCAGCCCAGATCACAGTGGTTGGACCAGGCTGGTGCCAGCAGAGAGCTGTGCTCGCTCTGGTGAGCATCACCCAATGCTCTTGGGCAGTATCCAGAGGGAGCTGGGCGTTTCAGCCAGGGTAGCAGCCAGTGGGGGGACAGGGTGTGGCTGTCGGGATACTTTGGGGTGTCAATCCCATCTGATGGCCCTTTCCCTCTTGCTCCCTCAGGCCTTGTGCGGCTGCACCGTGAACATTCCCACCATCGATGGACGGGTGATCCCGCTTCCCTGCAACGACATCATCAAGCCAGGGACAGTGAAGAGACTACGTGGGGAGGGGCTGCCCTTCCCCAAGGCCCCCAGCCAGCGAGGAGACTTGATTGTGGAGTTCAAAATCCGTTTCCCAGACAGAATAGCTCCTCAGACAAGACAGATCCTCAAGCAGCACCTCCCATGCTCCTAGAGCCCAGGGACTCTCCTCCAAAGCAGCAATACTCCAGACGCATGTGCCACAGCACCTGGCCTGGCCAAGGTGCCGCAGCACTTTTAAATGCAAAAAAAAAAAAAAATCAACCCCTCACACTACTTTTTTCCCCAAAAAACCCCACCCGACTCACTGCCTATCCATCCTTGGCCGGTTTTTTTACTCCAACAACAGGGAGACTCCTTTCTGCCACAGGTCTCCCAGCTGCCAAACCTTTTCTTTCTCCCCAGAGGTCCATTTCTTTTGCCTCGCACGAGTGAGAGCCATGGGCCGTTTTCCTGGGGAGGTGCGTCGTGTTGTGGGTTTTTTATGTCACCTGCTTTTCAGGCCACTCTTCCCACAAGAAGCTGGACTTGCCGGGGTCTGGCGCTGTGTAAATAGGACTCCGCAGGATCTGGCCTCCCCGCTGCTGGTTTTTCTCTTCCCCTCTTTGATACTTGCTGCTGTTTGGGGTCCCGGGTGTGCCACGGTGCCGATCACTCCTGCCTGTGGTGGCCCCCCCAGTAGCCGGACAATTTCTCACCTGGGGCCACGGTGCCAAGTCCAGCCGTGGTCCGCTCTCCTGTGCCAAGCCTACACCGAGCCTCGGCTGTGCCAAACAACGGAGCACGTGGGGATGGTCCATCCAGCCTCCTGCCCCTGCCCGGGGATGTCCCCAGTGCCCCTGGGCAGCACTTACCTGCACCTGCTGCCCACAGGGCCCCAGCCAGCAGGAGGAGGGGGGAAAGCCCAGGGTGGAGCTTTCTTTTATCAGATGTGTTGAGTTTGCATTGCTGCTTTTATTTTTTAAATACATATATATAGAGCTCATTAGATAAACTTCGTAAAGGTTTTTCTCTGCCTGTATTGGGGATACTGGCCTGACGCACCCAGGCTTTTTTTGAAAGGGGGATGATTCAGCCACACGAACAGCAAACCCCTGGAGTGGGGTTGTGTGTGCGTGTAGCACTAATCTGGGTGCCAAAGCAGAGCCAAGCGTGAGCAGAGCTGTGGGTTTCACTAGTGTTTCAGGTCAAATTAGGCATTCTAATAAGAAGAGAGAGGCGTGTGTATATATTTTTCTACAGGGACAATTCATTCAGGAGGTGTTTCTGGACATCAGGGTGGAGCTGGGAGGTGCATGAGGCAGTCTGTTTAGTGGCTACATTTTCAAATACTGTATTTTTTTAAAACCTTTGGATTTCCATCAGGAGAATTTTTATATTTCTTACCTTTCTCAGCCCACTCTGCCTCATGCCCATTTTTTTTTCCCAGGAAAGGGCTGCTGTGGAGCGGGAGGCGTGTTCCACCTGGCTTTGTACAGCTCCTCTTTCACCTCAGCACTGCCAAGAAAACCCCTGCCAAAATATTCCCCCAGGCCCCAGGAATCTTTTTTTTTTTTAAATTCCTTTTAAAAAAAATGTACTGACTTGAAGCAGGGGGTCCCTTGGGGTGGGGGGGCTGTGTGTGAGGTGTCCTTGGGGCTGGAGGTGCAGCTGTACAGTGTTACCCTGTGGGGTGAGGAGACGTGTGAGGCGCTGCTGAATCAATCACCCGCTTTGGCCAGCGAGGGGAGGCCACTGGTTCCCTCCACTGGTCCCTGTGGAGTTCAATGTGGAGAAATGTGGTGGACGAGAAGACAGGCCAGCACGCAGATGCAAGCTGATTTGTTTTTCTCGGTTTCAACGAGACCTGAATGTTTTATAGTGGGGTTTTTTTGTAATTTTCTTTTTCTTCTTCTTCTTTTTTTTTTTTTTTTTTTTTTTTGTAATGTCGGTATTGAGAGAAATAAAGAAGTATTTTGAAAAATACACTTTCTTGGGGTGTGTTGTGGTGGGAGGTGCCAGACTGGGTTCCAGCAGGCAGCGGGGAGAGGGCTCTGTGCCAGAGTCCTTGCCACCACCACCCTGGCCAGGTGCCCTTGAGGCTGGCAGGGAGAGGAAGAAGAAATCTGTTTCTTTTGGTACTTGGTGCGCAGGACCTTCAGTGCCTGATAAGAAGGGGAAGGGAATGAATAAATGTCCTGCTGGGTCACAGAATGGCTGCTCCCCTTCTGCATGGCCTCAGTTGTGCTGACCACATTGCCAAGGATTGAGAGCAGTGCTGGTGAGGGGCTTTGTCCCCTCAGGGCTCTGGGATGTGGCTAGCATGGGCAGTGGAATGGACACTGAAGGGCAGTGAAGGGCTGCAGGGGGAGGCTGGAGAGAGCAGTGCCCATCTCTTCTCAGAAGGCCCTGGGGCAAGGTGAGAGCCAGAGGCATTACTGGCACCCATGGAAAGTGCTGCTAATGCCAGGGAACGTTTGCACAGTGCTCCCATCAGGAGCAGTGCACAGGGACAGGAGACGACAGCAAAACCTGTGAGCCTTGTGCCCATCTCTCTAGTACAGTGTGTGGCTCAAGAGGGTTTGATTTTGGGTGAGAAGAGTCAATAAATTAAACTGAATTATGTTAATTGCCGCATAGCACTGCATATAGTTTCCATCGCCCATCAGCATCACTGGGCACCTTGCCTCTCTGAATTTGGGGTTCTGAACACAACTCTCCTTTGGTTGCCACGTTAGTGAAGGATAAGCTTTGGTGAAACCAGCCAAGCCCAGCAGTAGTGGAATCAGAACTGATTTCTACATGTGACATCACCACACACTATCTATCCTGCCCTGAAAAGCTCTTAGGACAGATGAAGGTCAAGGTCATGGATTAAACAGTCTCAAAGGAATTCTATAGGGGTGGTCCACTGACAGGAGAAATGATGTCACCACAGAATCAAAGAATGGGTTGGAAAGGACCTAAAGCTCACCTTATTCCAACCCCCTGACATGGGGACGGACTCCTTCCACTAGACCAGGTTGCTCAAAGCCCCATCAAACCTGGCCTTCAACATTTCCAGTGATGGGGCATCCACAGATTTTCTGGGCAACCTGTGCCAGTGCTTCACACCCCAACAGTAAAGATTTTTTTCCTGATATCCAATCTAAACCCCTCCCTTTCACTTTGAAGCCATTACTCTTTGTCCTGTTACTACATGCTCTTGTCAAAAACCTCTCCCCGTCCTTCTCTTTAGGCAGTGGAAGGGATAAAAAGACTGATATCAAAAGACAGGAAGGGTGATGGGATATTGGGAAGCAGGGGACCTGGCATGATGTAAATGGTATGGAATAAGTGGTAGCTGTTTCAGTGCAGTGCAGTATGAGAATAATGTTGATAACACACTGATGTTTCAGCTGTTGCTTACCCTAACTCAAGGACTGTGCAGTTTCCCATGCTCTGCCAGTGAGCAGGTGTGCAAGAAACCAGGCGGGAGCACGGCCAGGAGAGCTGATCCAAACTGGCCAAAGGGATATTCCATGTCATAGAACATCATGGCCAGTGTATAAACTGTGGGAAGAATGAATGAGTGGCTGCATGGTGCTTAGTGAAACCTCAGCAGTCCTTTCTGGTGCCCCATGAGGGCCCAGAGGGTGAGGTAACAATAGATCTGAGCAGAGCCTGTCTGACCACGTTTGTTATAAGTATTTGCTGTATTAGTTTAATACTTTCTGGTCACAAAGTTGTTTTGTTTGCACTTAAAGTTCCTGTGCATGTGCTTCCAGGAGCACCTTGCTTGGTGTGTGTCCCCTGTGTGACATTGATCCTCCATGGGGCCTGGGTGAGTTGTTCTTTGCAGTAGTGGCTAATAGGTGTCTCCAGGTGTCACATCTACACCATTCCTGAAAGTTTCCAAGAAGTTATACAGATCTGGTGTTTAGGAACATGGTTCAGTGGTAGACTTGGCAGTGCTGGCTTAATTGTTGGACTCGATTACCTTAGAGGTCTTTTCCAACATAAACATTCTGTGGTTTGATGATACACATCTTTTAAATACCCCCAGGGATGCACCAAGGCAGCCTGCTTCAATGCTTGACAATACCTTCCATGAAGAAATTTAGCCTAATATCCAACTTAAACCTCCACTGGCGCAACCTGAGACCATTTCCTCTTGTCCTGTTGCTTGCTGCTTGGGAGAAGAGATTGGCTACACCCTCCTTTCAGGTCACTGTAAAGAGTGATCAGGTCCCCCCTGTGGCTGTTTCTCCCCAGGATAAACACCCCAGCTCCCTCAGCCACTCCTCACCAGGACTTGTGCTCCAGACCTTTCCCCAGTTCCATTGTGTTCTCGACTCACTCCAGCACCTCAGTGTCTTTCTTTTTTTGAGGGTCCCAGAACTGGACACATCACTTGGAGTGTGGCCTCCCCAGTGCCAAGCACAGAGGGGCAGTCACTGCCCTGGTCCTGCTGGCCACACCATTGCTGATACATTCGGGATGTCCCTGGACTTCTTGGCACACCCTGGCTCATGTTCCGCTGCAGTTGATCAGCATCCCCAGCTCCTTTCCCTCCCAGCAGCTTTCCAGTCACCCTGTCCCAGCTGGAGCTGCAGGAGGTTGTTTTGACCCAAGCACAGAACCCGGCACTTGGCCTGGTTGAACCTCACACAATTGGCCCTGGCCCATGGATCCACTGGTACAACAGAGTCTCCATTTGTGAGACAAATCTGATACAAGCACTCAGCACTGCCATTCCCTCTGTATTTCGGGAGCCATCTGTTGGGAACTGTTCATAACTGCACCTTTGGCCTTTTTCCTTGGAGAGTCAAACCGTGGCAGAAACATTTTCCTACATCTCCCTTCTTTCACAGAATCAGTCATGGAAAGGTTTGGGTTGGGAGGGATCTTTAAGTTCTTCTCATTCTAAGACCCCTGCCGTTGACTGGGACACTTTCCACTAAACGAGATTGCTCAAAGCCCCACTCAGCCTGGCCTTGAACATTTCTAGGGATGGGGCATCCACTTCTATAATTCCTTCCTGCCTTTCCTCTTTGGAAGCCCTCAATTTCCCCAGGCTGGTAACAGCAGGCACCCTTTTAGGGAAGAGGGAGGAGATAGGGGTACCTGGTGGTTTTACCTGTGAGAATTCGTGTGTCCTAGAGAGGACACACGAATGTGGGAAGGAAAACCTGCCTTGACCATAGAGACACAGGTATGAAAATTACAGATGAAAGCAATCATAAATGAGTATTTGCTGCCCAGTAGTCAGTGGGTAGTTTCTCAGGCAGAGTCAAAGGTT